CCCATCTTACTCAGTCTCTCCCCAACCCCAAGGACAGTCCCATTCTACAACAGTGGCATCATGTAATATTTGTCCTTTTGTGATGTTAACTTCCAAAAGATCTTCACTGAAAGACTGTTCCTGTTCTAATCCTCCTAAAGTAGCACTTTATTGTGGTTTTGACTTAAATTTTTCTGAGTGTGAGTGATTTGAACATGTCTTCTTGTGTCTTTGCTCATTAGTGTTCAAGGCCTCAAACCTGTTCCTGAGGTAGTTTTGAAATTCAGGTAGGATAGACTCAAGGTCATCTATTGGTTCCCCTGTATTTGATTTTCCTTATCTTCAGCTTGAACTTGCATGTGAGTAATTGTGGTCAGATAGTTGTTTCGCCTTATCACGGTTTAACAAAAATATTTAAATGATTTGTACCCTCATATTTCTTTTCTCATTTTTTTTTTCACAAGGAGGCAAAGACATTCAGGAAATGGACATTAAAAACGGCAGTGAGGTAACAGAATTCATCCTCCTGGGGCTCACAGGTCGCCCAGAACTCCAACGCCCCCTCTTTGTGCTGTTCCTGGCCGTTTACCTTGTCACGCTCCTCGGCAACGCGGGCATGATCCTGCTCATCAGGCTGGACGCTCGTCTCCACACTCCCATGTACTTCTTTCTAACCAACTTAGCCTTTGTGGACTTGTGCTACACCTCCAACGCAACCCCCCAGATGCTGACTAACTTCCTATCCGCGAAGAAGACCATCTCCTTTGCTGGATGCTTCATACAGTGCTATTTATTCATCGCACTTCTCCTCACGGAGTTTTACATGCTGGCGGCAATGGCCTACGACCGCTACATGGCCATCTGCCACCCACTGCGCTACAGCGTGAAAATGTCCAGGAAAGTCTGCCTCTGTTTGGCCACATTCCCTTACGTCTATGGCTTCTCAGATGGTCTCTTCCAGTCCATCCTGACCTTCCGCTTGAACTTCTGTAGATCCAATATCATCAATCACTTCTACTGTGCTGACCCACCCCTCATTAAACTCTCCTGCTCTGACACTTACATCAAAGAACACGCCATGCTCATCTCGGCTGGCTTCAATCTCTCCACCTCTCTCACTATCATCCTGGTGTCTTACGTCTTCATTATTGCGGCCATCCTCAGGATCAAGTCAGCAGAGGGAAGGCACAAGGCTTTCTCTACCTGTGGTTCCCATGTGATAGCTGTCACCCTATTTTATGGGACACTCTTCTGTATGTATATAAGACCACCCACAGATAAGAATGTTGAGGAATCCAAAATAATAGCTGTCTTCTACACCTTTGTAAGTCCGGTGCTTAATCCTTTAATCTACAGTCTAAGAAACAAAGATGTAAAACGGGCCTTGAAGAATGTCCTTGGACGAAAAGTGTCCACTAATGTGACAGTGCCTCCGTTCTCCAGTAAACCTTAACTCTGCATGATTGACTCAAATGTCTTTAAAATTGAGTACGAGCTTTATTATTTTACATGGATGTGCTTCATGTGTCTCTGGTCAAAGTTTCGAGTCTGAAAAAGAAATAGATGATGGTGGTTTTTTTTATTCTAGACATTTGGGCCTCAATATATCATTCTTGAGTCAGAAGTGTAACTATTCCTTTTAAATTTGCTAGATAAAAATAAGCCAGATACAGTACATGTCAGATTCAAATGTACATTTTATGCAAATGTCAGACTAATATGTTCTGACATTAAAGTTGAAAAATGCTGCTTTAGATCACGTATTCAACCGTGTCCTCTGAGATAATGGAGTGCCCTGAGGGCTTATAGGTAAAAGGGGTGAACATGTTCTCAGCTCAGTTACTTGAATGGAAACTATTTCTGTTCTATTTCCACATTGATGTGTTTTATGAAACATATCCTCCTGAAATTCTTTCTGACTTGCTGTGTAAGAACAGAAATTAGAGAGCATAATACTCTTTTTTGTTTCCTATCAATTTGCTTATTGATAAGAAAATTAGTGTTGGTGCTGAGAGGAAATAACAGGGGAGGGAGGAACCAAATGCTCATATCTGCCCTGGACTGGATGGTGTACATCCAGATCTCTGAGCTACTAGGACCAACTTCAACCCTTTAGCTTTCCAATCTTGAGTGAAAGTTTCCTGTAACAACGTGTAGTTGAAATATAAGAACAAAATAACATGAAAGAACAGTTTAAAATTAAAGGGACAGACAAGAAGCCCTAGGTCATATCAAACAGGAGATCCACCTTAATTTAAATTCAAGTCTGTTTTTAACTATGCTTTATTGTTTTTTTGAACTTTTAGAAACAACGATAGTTTATAGAAAGACTTCAGGTCTTTTGTTCATAGGGTCATTCTGAGTTGTGCTCGACTCAATGGCAATCGACAATTATAGCAATTGTTATACTATGCCAAATCAGAAACTAATAGCTGACACTTCAGTGAGTTTTCAGAGGCAATTAATTACAGGAGAGGAGATTGCTCATCTTTCTCCCCAGAGCTGCTGGTGGATTTGAACCATGTGTCTTTGCAGTGACAATGCAACTCCTTACAACTATGCACCCAGAGCTCCTATTTTATGGTCCTGTTTTATTGTAGTGTCTAGTCTAGTGGAGGAACATAAAGTTGCTTTTGCCTCTTCTAAAATCCACAAAGTAAAACATGTTTTCTCACAATTCATGTTTCAATAATGACTTAAATACAAATATGATTCTTTTTTCTAAAATATATATTGTTTTCTTACTTATTGTTCTTATGTCAATCCCAATTCAAAGTACATAAGACATACAATTTTCGTTAGACATTTCATTTTCTTTACTTTAATGTTTAAGTGGAAAAGCAGGTTTGTCCCATGTAATAATTTGATGGCAACCACTAAATGTTCTGTTAGCAACTGTGTGTTTACCTGCGGTGTGTTTTTTAGTCTTTTATTCTCTCACATTTTTTTCCCTTTGAGCATTCTAATTTAAAGATTTAAAAATTTTATAGGATAGCTTCTTTTTCAATCTTTTATTGTTAATATGGTCTCTAGTTTATTGATTTCTGTTCTTATTTTTAAATCAAACTTGAGATAGATATTTCTCCTACTTTCTAATTACTTTTGTTGAATGCTTAAATTTTTTATCTGAATTTTACTTCTTTCTCACATATTTAATGCGATATATTTTCCTCTAAACTCTGTGTTCACTGTAAGCCACTAATTTGGATATTTTTATCAAATTGATAACTTACCAAATATTTTCTAATTTAACCTAATGACTTTAGCCTATAAGCTATTTCATGAAGTATATTTACTACCATAGTTAAGGTTTTTATATATAATTTAATTGTTAAATTATTAATTATTGCTAATTTAAATAGCTGTTTGTGAGAAAAAATTTTTTAGTATTTACAGAGACCAGTTTTATGACCCAATATATAGCCTCTAGTGATAAATTTCTCATACATCATTAAAGTGAATCCTACAGTATTGTGGTGTCATTTTTATGTAGCTGTCAATGATGTATAATTAGTGAATATGAATGTGTGAATTACCTTGTAGTATGAATGAATCTGAAAGACATTATGCTAGATAAAATTAGTTAATTGCAGAAGGAAACTGTAGTATAAGGCCATTATTACACAAAGTAAAGAAAATGTTTTTACACAGAAAGAATTCCTTTTTTTATCTATACTGAAAGGGAATATGAATCATTTTGATCAGGAGAATGGGACTGGACTCAAAGTTGGAAGTTGTCTGGAGCAGCCGGATTCTACAGAGGTTTGTTTTCTGGTTCTGGTGAGGATTAGGGTGGAATGATTACTTGCTATTGGATGTGAGTTGGAGTTGGCATCCACTTCCAAAATGCTTGCCTCCAGAAATTCTATGAACGTGGAGAAACAATGAAAGTTATACAAGTATTCAGGTATTTCTTTTGCAGGGTTGCTATGAGTCGTCTACAACTCGACAGCACCTAACACCACCACCACCACCACCACTAGAAGACAGAAAGAATAACTCAAGTAAAGAAAAAGCAATTTATCATAATGGAGAATTCAGCAAAGCATGCTCAAGTTAAAGAAGAATGCTAGGAGCACAAAAATTATATAAAGAGACATATTATTATATACCTACTTCCATGTTAATAGTAATAACAATAATATAAAATAGAAACAAGCTGAAAAGGTGTAAAAAGGTTAATTATACTAACCTCTTGATAATATAGGTTTGACTGAAGATATTTCTATATATATGTACACAGATTGCATGTATCTATAAAAACAGTAGAACACACAGGGGACAAAGTTATGAAAACTTCTTGGTCATTGTCAAATGCCTTGAAAGACTGAATTACTGGATCTGAGGATGCAAAATCACAGTCTCAAGAGACATCAAGACCAATAGACACAGTACACTCTTCACAAAAATAGGTTCTATATCCTACATTGGTGATTAATCACTGAACTCTTTAAAACTTATAAGGAGCCATTTACTATTCAATTATTTGTCTTTCCTCATTGGGAAAAAAATGCAGAAAATCAAAGAGCCTTAAAACATTCATTTAAAGGACTAATAGTTCAGGTGAATCTCTGCCTCCAGAAATCTGAGACCAGAATTACAAGATGATGTTATCGTTGTCAATCACTCTTTGAAAGAAATCACCATAGAATATTCTATATATAGTAGTCAAAAATTACAGAACTATTATCAGTATCATAAAAATACCATGTTCTTATGGGGAGTTATAACTCTCATATACTGTTGGTGAAACTAGAAATTGATGAAACCATTATGGAAAGAAGTTTGGTGCTTCTGGATAAAGTTGAAAATAGAAATATTGTTTGATCTAGATCCCACTGTTGTCTTTGTTGTCAAAAGCTATTGAGTTGGAACCAATTTATTGCTGAGGCCTCCAGCAGATTTTCATAGGTTATAAAACTCACAGGAGAAGATTATCAGTCTTTCTCTTGTAAAGCAATTGGTGAATTCGAGCTGCATGCCTTTGAGTTAGCAGTAGGTCACCAGAGTTCCCTAGAAATCCCACTCTTAGGTGCATTTTCTAAGGAAAACAACACTATGACATGACAGATAATCATGCATAACCATTTTCGTGGTAGCATTATTTACAATGACAAGGAGATGGAAACAATCTTAGTCACAATCAATGGATTAATAGATAAAGAAACTCTGGTACATTCACGCAACATAGAGTGATAATAAAAACAACAGAGAATTCACAAACCAGTGAATACCATGGATGAAGCTAGAAAATATTATACTGAGTAAATTAAATCAGTACCAAAAGAATAAATATTGTATGAGACCACTGTGGTAAAAAGCTAAAGAATAGTTTACGCTCAGAAAGAATAAATTCTGGATGGCTAGCAGGGATGGTAAGGAGAGTAAAAATGAGTAACTAGATAAGAGACACATATTAATACGGGCTAAATAATCAAGAAAAGAATGATCAGCCAGTATCACTAAAGAATGCAAAGGCACGTAGGTTTAACAGAATGAATATTTCAGAGAGAAAGTGGGAAAAGGGCAATTTCATCCTAGGTAAAAAAAGTAATGGTCTAGAACAAAATATGTATGAATTGTTGCATGGAAATATTAATTTGCTTTTATAAATTTCATTCCAACTACAATAATAAAAAAAGAAAAAGAAGGGGAGCTCTGGTGGTCTAGTGGAAAGAAGCTGCAACTACAATCCCAGAGGCACACAGTTCGAATACACCAGATGCTCTGCCAGGGAAGGAGGGACAATCTCCTCCTGTACCAGTAAGATCCGATTTGATGGTACACACACACACACACACAATAAAATAAAAAAAAAAAGAAACAAAAGACCATGTTCATTAGTCAGAGTGAGTTCTGTGAGACTTCTGAAACTGTGTTAGTCACCCTTTATGATTGGAATTTACCTCAATCTCATGCTTCAGCTATCAGATAGACAATATACAGGTCTACAAGGAGACCAATAACACCAGGCACAGCCATTTGATATGATCAGGGCAGTATTTGCCTAGATTTGAAGATCCAAACACATGAAAGGATGGGATAGGAGGACAAATGAAGACACAGAAAACACTAGAATGTGCCACTCTACTTTGGTGACCAGGCGCAGGAAGAGGGTGGAGTTGAAAATGAATAGCCAAGAAATGTTTATGAAGATTGATAAAAGGAAAGACCATAAGGAATAAATGGATAATAAGACATTGTGACATTGTGAGCATTGTAATCAATGTTACAGAATGAACAACACTGTTGTATGAACAACTGAATGGGAGAAAACCAATATCCTTTATAAACTTCCACTCAAATAGCGAGCAAAAAAGAAAAGAAAAAAAAAAAAGAGACTCAACTGGGTCAGCAAATTAGTTTTCTAATTGTATTATGAGTTGCAGGTAAACAAAACAAAAAAAATTAAAAACCCAGGAAACTCAAGTTGTCGTTGTTGGTATTAGGGGT